TCATTCAGCCCATGTACGTGATTTAGATGACATTTTTTTATTGCCCCAGACAGCCTTGCACCATTAGTTAAACCTGAAATTTAGCCCTTGAGAGATACATTACTGGTGCATATTGAGTGAACAGAAGTGGAAAGATACCAGACAATGTTCAGCCCACAACAAATCATTTCATAGTTGTCTGTTTGTTACATAACTGCATGAATCATTGGGAGATTTTTTTTTTTTTTTTTTCCTAAGGAAGGATGATTTTAGTCCTGTCTGTGTGCAGACAACTTCACCCAGCAGGGTCTATACAAAGGGAATGATGCTGCATTATAAGCAGTGATAAGCAGCCTTGCTCTCTCTCTCTCTCTCTTGCTCTCTTTCTCTTTCTCTCCCGACATCCCATAATGATACTCAGACAGACTCAGACACCCGCTCGGTCCCGATTGGTAGAACTGTTGCCAGGGAGCGTTGCCGTCTCAACGTGGATAGAATCTGTTGTCTGGTACACTTTAGACATGAGAATAACTGCAGGATCTGAATATTTATAACAAGGAAACTGTTCATATTGAGATTGTATAGAGGCAACATAAGCAAGAGGAGAGGTGTGTGTTCCTATTTCGCCCACTTCAAAAATTTCTTTCCGTTTGCTTTTTCATGTATGAGATATTAATTAATGTTGGTACTTTTCTATGCGTTTGTCTCCTCAATATATATTTATAGCATAGTTAAGTTTTTGTTATCTGCATTGTGTAACACCAACTTTACTTCAAGAATGAACTTATTTGAGCTATTCCACAAAGTACTAAATGCCATATAAATGAATCCTAATGGTGTACGACTTTGATGGTATTATGTCTGAATGTTACTCTGTTGGTGTTTTATAAGCAGCTACTGTAGAATTAGTAATTAAAATCTGTATGTATGTGTGTTTGTGTGTGTGCACACACATGCGTGTGTGTGTGTGTGTGTGCCATCTGGCGAGTCATCTCATTTCTTCATATTATTCAAATATGCCTGGACCTGCTGCTACAGTTAATAACACTTTGCGTAGGTATGAATCCTTGATTAAAATGGATGTTACACATTTCAACAAAGCAGACAACAGCAATCAGAACAGTATTCGAATTTCACAACTTGGTTCACAAACTATGCTGACACACACACACACACACACATATCTGATATAGAGTGCCAAAAGTCACAGCCAGGTATATAATGATGATTATAAAAACACGCCTTGGTATCCAAGAAACTTTGACATGGAAATGCAAACACACACTACGAAGGAAATGAGGACACACACACACACACACACACACAAATATATAATCTGTCATTAGGCGAACAAGTTGAGACCGTGTTCATGGTTTATATTTTTTTACCAGAGATGTGCAAAGTCTGGATTTAATATAGGCAGGAGGGGGTTGCAATTTGCATGCACATGTTTGCGTGTGTACTTTTACATGTGTAGGTATGTGCACTGTGCCTGTGCACTTATCCTTATAATATACATGTATATGCATCCTTGTTTATTTGTGCATACAGTGCATTTACATGAACACAAAGTTGTGCGTCTGTGTGTATGTGCAGTGTGGCACACTGCTGTCCTGTCTCCCTGACTCAACATATTCTCCGTTCACTCTCCATAGCTCTTTCTCTCCCCCTCCCTCTTCATTTTTTCCTTCACTCTCCTCCTCGCCTCTCCCTCTCCCTCTCACTCTGCCCGGCTGGCACGTACATGCATGTCTGTAGACTCTGTACTGTGCTTGCTGCTGTGGCACGCGCCAACCTCACTGCAATGCAGCCCTGTGTGCATTAATTGGCAGAGAGACAGTGGGTACGTGGTATGCAGGACTGGAAGGAAAAAGGAAAGGGAGAGAAGAAAAGCAAGAGGCGATGTAAGGATGCAATAGTTACAATAACTGATGGCCGGACCGCTGGACAAGCAACGTGGCAGGTCCACAGAAGGACAGACAGACAAACAAATGTTTATTGCAAGAGGGTGCACAGGGAGATTACCTGACTGTGTGTCGGTGTGTGTGGGAAGGCACAGGGGAGCGCATATATGTGTTTGCATTAGTGGGTTCGTGTCTCCTACGTTTGACAGTGCCTTTTGTGTGTGCTCGCTCATGTGTCCCTATGCATGTCATGCAGATATCGCAATGCTGGGGCAAAGCTTTCTGAACTAGTCTGACTCACTGTATTCAGTGCTTTGTGATATCCTCCCTTTCATATTTCTGCTGTAACTGAAGAGTAAAAGTTTGCACAGTTTGGCACAACTTTCTCCACTTGAGGTTTCTTTGGCCAAAAAGAGAAGCACAGTTTGTCTGGAAGCTTTCTGGGGACATGCTCAGCATCAGTTTTTTTTTTTTTTTAGTTTTTTAAACTTTTGTTTTTCAGTTTAACAGATTGTATGTTGTATTGTGAGGGGAATAGATGGAATGAGGTCATTTATCAAATAGTTCACTGTCTTCGTGTCTCATCACCCGAAATGCAGCACAGAGGTCATAGAGCTTCCTCCACTGTGTTTGTAGGTTTTCACTTTGTCATACAAGAATTATACAACATTTATATGTGTGGATGTTCATACTGTAAAAAAACACTTACTCATATGTCACAGCAATTTTGCATTCATAACCTCCCACACATATCTTTCTGGAAGTTCTCCTTTCTGTTAGCTGTTGTCTTTTGTCTTCGTTTCTCTATAACAAGATGCCACATCTGGCTCCTGTCCTCTCTTATCCACATCAGGCAACATTTAAGGAGGCCTTACATGAACTGGTTAAAAAAGTAACAACAGAAAACAAAGAAATGTCGCCTGAATAGGCTGAGCCACTGAAGTGAAGGCGTAAATTAATCAATTTGATAAATCGAAATGGAAAATAGTCCTGCGTGAAGACAGTATTTCTCTCTGTGTGCGTGTAGGTGTTTGGCAGAGGGGGCCTTGCATGATTCAGAGAAAATACACAACACTTGCTCAAAAGTAAAACCTCTTTTTTAAAACTATTGTCTTCAAAAGACTGTAAAAAATAGGAAATACCTTGAAATGAAGTTGGTGTTTGTGGTGAACTGTTTACATTCTACAGTTTTTCTGTACCACAGTGTGACCGTTTCTCTCCGGGCTTGCATCAACCAGGCATTTCAGAAGTTTCACTACTCAGTCTCATTAATTAATTGTGGCTGTACGTGTTTTCATTTCTCTTTTATCTTAGTCATTCTCCACCTCTTTCTGTTAGACCATAGACCAGGCTTCTGTGTCCACAGGCAAGTGGCATAAGTTGCTTCAACCTAATTGTCTTTCTCTACTCGTACTGTCCTCAGATGACTTTCTCTCTGTCTCAACTCTCCCCTCCCTCCCTCCTGTGCTTCTCTCTAGCTCTGCCCAGTCTCTGTCTCCGTCTGTAACTGTAGCCTGTGTTTTTCTCTCCCTCCCACTCCCTGCGACGTATAGATACTGCATTGATCAGACACATGCGCACAGACACATGCACACACGCGCACACTGAGCCTCCCACTCCTTTCATCATTGATTCGCTCTGCTCTAGCTCTGCTCTGGCTTTCTCTCTCCCCATTCTCTTTCTACCTCTCTCTCTCGCTCTCTCGCTCTACAGCGGCACTTGTTGAATTCAACCCTTGGAGAGTAGAGAGAGAGAGAGGACAGAGAAATAGAAAGAGGTAATGACAGGGAGGCAGAGGGAGGCTTTGAGACAGCACTAGGACAGACTGAGCAGAAAGAATAGGGCTTTGGAGGATATAGAGATAGAAGATAGGCTGTGGAAGACGGACAGAGAAAAGTCAGTCAGACAGCGGAGAGAATTATATTTGAGACAGCCGGAATGACCCTGAGTCGACCAGACGGAGTAAATCAGAGCGCTCTCCTTCCATCTTTAACTACTCTGCTGTCCTGGTCCTGGCTGCTGCTGGTGTGTTTATGTGTGTCTTAACCAGAAGACTGGCTTACACAGGTCAGAACTGTCTGGGATAACAGTGAGTGCTTCTTTGGTGCATTTGTGCATGTGTGAGAGACTGTTAGCAAGGGAAAGTTGTCTGCTGGTTTCCCCAGGTGAGGGCTTCTGTGCCAGAGCACACAGTAATTTCCCTATGCAGCCTGTACTGTAGGCGTGTATGTTTATTTGTGCGCACTTTATGCAAGTATGCTAGAGTGCACGTCTGTCTATATGGAGTGCATGAAGTGGGAGTGAGAGAGGCGGTGACTTTTTCTTTTTTTCAGTTTGTATTCCTGGAAACTGTTCTGCAGCATTGCTCAATAATGAAACTAGTGCGTATATGTATGTGTGTGGGTTGGTGGGAAGAAAAAAAAACAATGAAAAGGTTCAGGAAAAGAGAAAGGGTGCTAATATGCCTCAAGACTGTTACGGACAAGGAGTAAAGGGAACTGTTAAAGTAGTTGTCAAATTGTATATTGCATTGTTTCGTTCTCCCAAAAAGTTCATGTATCGCTGTCATAGGCAGAGTCAGCAAAATCAAGGAGAATCTACAGCATGAAGAATTGACTGTATTCAGGAAAGTTGCTGCCAAAGTTGACAACAATATCTATAAAAGTCTGTGAGAGAATGAAGCATTAAGTGTAATGCATGGAAGGAGTCTAAGGTTCATGGAATTTAAGCCAAGTAAAACAACATAGCCTTAAGGTATTTCACAGTGTTCTCATGCACTGCATGTACAGCATTGTGTTTAGTTATTTTTCCCTTGTGGACTGACTTGACTCTTCTTTTCTCTCTCTTGCCTCTGCTCTCTCACCCACTACCGCCGCATATCCATCTTTCACACACCTCTCACTTCTCCCTCAACTGTTTTTCTCACTTCATCTCAACTCTGTTTTCATTCTTACTCTTTTGCATCCTTTAAGATCCTCTCAAATTTCCCTTCTCACCTCTCTGCATTCTTCTGGCATATTTTTTTCATCTGTAACTCTTTTTTTTTTTTTATTCACCGTGTTCCTCTTCTCCAACATGTTCTCTATACCTTCTTTTTTCTTTTTCTTTTTTTTATAGATGCCTCTCTCACTGGCAGAGTCTGCATTGAATGTTTGAAACTCCATCTTCCTCTTCCTCTGTGGCCAATATGTCCCAGCTGCTCCATGTGGAGATCCCAAACTTTGGAGCCACAGTTCTGGGCTCCCTTAATGAGCAGCGCCTGCTGGGACACTACTGCGATGTATCCATCTTGGTCAAAGGTTGGTTAGCAAATCTAGAGGTTATATTTCTTTCTTTTTTTTTTTAAATTTTGGTTGCAGAACACTTGAATTTTTTTTTAATCAATATCAAACTTCTTCTTATCTTGGCTGTGTCTGTCAACCAGGTCAGGCATTCAAAGCTCACCGGGCCGTTTTGGCTGCCAGCAGCCTCTACTTTCGTGACCTCTTCAGTAGCTCCACCAAGACCCAGTTTGAGTTGCCCTCCTCAGTCACACCTGCTTGCTTTGAACAGATCCTCACTTTCTGCTATACAGGGAAGCTAACAATGGCAGCTAGTGAACAGCTGGTGGTCATGTACACAGCTGGCTACCTCCAAATTCAGCATATAGTTGAAAGAGGCATGGACCTTATGTTCAAAGCAAACTCACCTCACTGTGACTCGCAAACAGCAGGGACCTCAGAGGAAACAGGATCTGAGCCACAGAGCCCTTGTAATAATGGCAACGGCTTGGCCGTGGCCACCCTTTTGGGAACCCCAGGGTGGTCTCCATCCCTTCTAATGCCACAGCGTAAAATTAAACTAGAAGGGGGTGACCCAACACCCCTGACAATACCCTCGACACAAAGCAAGATATCATCTTCAGAGCTGGGGAGTCGGCTGGCTGTTCTACACAACGGCAGGAGGGGCCCCCATCCCTGGTTTGCCTCCTTACCACCTTCAAGGGGCCAGTGGAGGTGGAACAGGAGGAGGAGCTGGAGCAGAAAGGTCCAGTCCTGGAGCATCCAGTCTGCCCACCACTGACAGTCCTACATCCTACCAGAACGAGGATGAGGAGTTTGAGGAAGAGCCTTATGATGGGATCACTGAGGATGCCTACAGTCATCTCTATGGCCGTTCAGCTAACCCCTACGGGAGTGAGTATTATGTTATATTGATTTATAAAATCTTTGTCAAGTGGTGCAGTGTTTAGGAGTGTTTTAAACCAATGCCATATTACTCATCACTGAAGCTTTACTCTGAAATACTTTTTGTCATTGAAAAAGTTTCAAAATGTTCTTAGGTATAGTCAAAAACTATAACATTACAAAATCTTACATTCCCCTACAATAACGTTTATAGTATTTCCTTCTTAACTTCAGTAAATAGCTAAAAAAAAAAACACTGGTCAAATGAGAAAATGTTAAGACAATCTTAATGGCAATCCTGCTTCCCTTTATCTTTCTAGTCATGTAAGATCTGACTACATGCACTATTTTCTCAGTTGCCCTTGACTTAGATTAAGGAAATTCATTTGATATCAGACTAATCTAAAATATATCCATAAAAATATTGGAGTTTGGAACATAGTTGTTCCTAAAACAAAAAGTAACTCTTGATGCACATTCTTTTCATGCTTTTCATCCAAGTTACATTATTTAATCTTTCATAAATCATGTATTCTTTGCATCTTGAAAAACGGGATGTTGTGCCTCCAGTATGTGTGTGGGTTCTCTCAGCTTTATAGTTATGTGATTGTGCATCGTGACACACTCCTTATCACAGCTACAGCTGGTCTGTACTGCTTTTTGTTTTTTTTGTTACCACACCTTCACACTGGTGCACATTTGTCTACACATGCAGGCATAGGTGCTGCATTCCTATGTTTGCTTTCACATCACATGTAAATTCACAAATCAAACACCAATGGATAGTCACAAACTCAGACTCACTTGTGGACACACACACATAAGTTCCATCATTGTTAGCATCCTGTAGCTCAAAGGCATCACACAAGTTTGTCAAATTCTAGAGTTTCAGATATTTATGAACTCCCCTCTGTCACCCCAGGGTGACACTGTGGGATATTTGAGAACCATTCACATCTCATTTATGTGTGTGTGTATACGCACAGGCAAATGCATTAATCCACACTTTTCTGTGTACATTATGTGCACTTGTATGACAATGAATGCATTAATTTCTATTGTTCTCTATGTGTGTGTCTGTGTATGCGTGTGTGCTTGTTTGTGCACGTGCATGTACAAACACTAATGGGGAAACAATTTGTGAATACAGTAAGGACCGAACATCCCACATTGGATCTGTCCCCCTCCTAAACTCAAGTTGCTCATGCAGCATCATGACTTGTCAGGGATTCATCTGCAGTACCCTAAAACATTTATGAAGCACAACAAATTTGTATGAGGTTACACCAAGCTGCTTTACTAATTCAATTTTGGAGCCTTTATTTAAGTAGGGAACACAGATGGTGTGGGGGATGGTATAAGTTTGTTTTGTAGTTTATAGATGATAAATGAATGTATGCATACACATTTGTCTGTTCTTTTTTTGCTGTGTAACACAAAACTTTCTGCTCTTACTTGGTTTCATCAGTCCAGGACAAGCCAGAGATGGCGACGGTGCCCTTGGCCTTGGAGAACCGCAACTGTGTGCTGATCCGCAGAGACCTGGTGGCGCTGCCTGCAAGCCTCATCAGCCAGATAGGCTACCGCTGCCACCCTAAACTCTACACTGAGGGAGACCCTGGGGAGAAGCTGGAACTGGTAGCTGGTAGGCATACAAACATGTGCATCTACTTGCACAAATGTGTTCACTCTCATTGTAGCACGTGAGTTTGGATAGTATTCGTGATCGTACACTTTATCCACACTTAGGTCATTTAAACTGAAAAATTTAATTAGACAAAATACAACACTGTAACCTCTTACATATCCCTTTTTATTCAAGTGATGCACGAATTCAATGTACATTTGACTTGTATGATGGTGGTATCAGTAGTTAATCTAAGTACATCACCATTCACAGTCACAGAGTCTACATTAGAGCTAAACCATATAATTAAAACATTTTGTTTAAACTATGTTTAGGCAACAAAATATTAAGTTACATTCTTATCCCTAATTAAAAGCCTGTTCACCAGCATCTTACCCACATTCAACCCAGGGCAGGAGGAGGGTCATGAAGCCAGGTTGGGTGATATGCTTTTAATCATTAAGATCGACCACCATAGTGTGTCCAGGTCACAGTGCCAGTACAAAAGGGATTAAATAAATCTCCAGCATTTCTCTGTGGAGCCTGATGACTGTGAAAGGATGACCATCTCAGCTATAGTCCTCAATCAGGCCTTTATGTTAGAGTAACTAAACAGGGGTCCTTCTTGAATAAAGAGCATATGACAGCCTGCCAGCAGTTTGCTAAATGGCCCTTAAGGGGCTCTGAGAGCAGGAAGAAAAGGATTATTTTTTGGTATTATGAGACAAAAATGAATCCTTTGGTCCGAGTGCACGTATTGCTCTTGGCAGTCAGACCTGAGACTTTCAAAGAGATCAGGTGTCACTTAACATGCGGCTAGTATAATCCCTACAGTGGAGCATTGTTCAATCAATTTAATATGACAAAAGATTGGAGTCTGAGTACATAACAGTGCACTTTATAAACAGAAACAGCCAAGGAAAGATATGTGCATGTGCAAGTTGTGGTCAGTAACCAAATGTACAGGAATAAGAGCTCATAGAGTTACCATGTGATCAGATTCTATCATATTGTGAAATAAATGATTTAAAAACACAATGGGACACAATGAAAATGTGTAATTCTGTTCTCTAGTCTGTATGTAAGATCCAGAATACAATGCATGAATGTGAAAAAATGTGAAAACGATGGTGTTAAAAAGCGAGCAAAGCCAAGTCATTTATTAGTGTGATGTTTTTATGGCCTCCAACTTTGATTCCTTGCCCAGTTTTTCATTCCACTTTGGACAGCTGAAGCTTTGTTTAACTCCACTAAAGATCTCCTTGAACATGGTTCTCAAATGTAGCAAAGGACTAAAAGAAGAACTGGTAACTGGGAGGAAGAATAAAGCCTTAAAATCTTGACAAAGAAATGGGTTGTAATATGAGCTGTTTTCTCAACAAATCCTCTCGTTTCTCATTACACAGGTACACAGGTGTTCATGACTCGAGGTCAGCTGATGAATTGTCATTTATGTGCTGGTATCAAACACAAAGTGTTGCTCCGCCGTCTGCTGGCCACATTCTTTGATAGGTGAGTATAAAGACATGAACAGAAATGTGAATTAATCTTTAAGGACCTGCTGTACGATGTGAGTTCTCTGTATGACTCCAGCACTACCAGTTTTCACAAACTGACTTTCACACTCCATCTGTGGCCATGTTGTGCAATGCGGTTAGTTGTGTGTATTCCCATGTTAATTGTACTTTATGTGCCTGTTGCTGACTCTGCCCCCTGGTGTTGACTCTGTATCCTTGCAGAAACACTTTAGCCAATAGCTGTGGGACAGGTATCCGTTCTTCTACTAGTGACCCCAGTAGGAAACCCCTGGACAGCAGGGTCCTCAACGCTGTCAAACGTAGGTTTACTGTCCAAATCATTCCAAATCATCATGTGGAAGAATTTGCATAGAGCATAATTAGTCTACATGGACTTTGCTCTTTTCTCTCATTTACAGTCTACTGTCAAAATTTCAACCCTAACTTCAAGGAGAGTGAAATGAATGTGATTGCTGCTGACATGTGCACAAATGCCAGGCGTGTCCGGAAGCGATGGCTGCCCAAGATCAAGTCCATGCTGCCTGATGGCATGGAGGTGTACCGTGCAGGAATGGGCATGGGTGCTACTGTGGGCCTTGGCCTGGCACTGGGTGCCTCACAGCCAGGGGTATCCCTCCCCTTTGAGCCTGACTTCAAAGCCCTAGAGCAAAGGTTGTATCCAGAACGCAAGGACCCTCTCAGGACTCACGCGCCACTGGCCGAGGGCAGCCCCGGGTCTGTGGCTGGAGCAGAGGCTGAAGGTGAAGGTGAAGGGGTCACCCAGGAGGAACAGGAGGAAGATGATGACGAAGCTGGGTTAGAAGGTGTCAGCGGATCACTGGGGGTGCCAGCTCTGATCCCAGGAGCTGAGCCAGGCAACTGTGGTGACACACCGCCTGAGCAAGAAATGGAAAGTTTTGGACAAGGCCTGACGGTGAATGGGCAGTGAATGTCCTTGTGGGCTGCCTCACACATTGTGAAATCTGTTTAACATAGCATTTTCTTTGGCTTGCTCTCTTACTCTAACATCTCGTCCACCACTCTTTCTTCTTCTCTTCTCTGTGCTTCCTCAACAAGAATTATTCAGCCACCTCGTCAACATTACTATACAGGAATTTGTCACACATGCATGCACATGTATGCTTGTGTACACACATACTTACTGATAGTGGAAGTAGACACAGGCATGGCATTACCCCACTGAGAAAATGTATTATCTCTGCTCCTCCCTTTTCATCATATATTCAGTATTTACTCAGAATTTCGGCACCCGCAGCAATATTACAAAGGCCTTATAGCAGAAAAATAGCTGTAATAATCGTTTCAGTGCAACATAAAAGCAACAGTTGCTTTTCTGGCAGTTTATGGAGTGTGATATAATGGTCTGTAAAATTATAATATTTTCTTGGAATGCTGCATCTAAAAAGAATCCCTGTAACCTTGGGAAAAACTGTCAGAAAAACAAAACTCACTATAAAGGCTGAGTATTTTTCTGTGTTTGACCACGTTACATCATATTGTTGTATGATAAGTATGTGGCAATATATATATATATATATATCAAAGATTGTTTTATAATTAAAGATCAAGTACTGTAATAATACCATTAAACAGAACAAGTTTATTTTATATTACTGTAAATCAGCATGATAAATAAAGATGATGAAAGATTTTTCTGTGAAAGCTAAAGACGTTTTCAAAATCTAGCAAAGAATCTATCACATGGAGTTGTTTTTCATGCACATTTGGCCATGACATACTTGATTAGATTATCAATGTGATGCCTGTGTCTGCTCCAGACCGCCCTTCCCAGCCACACACACACACACACACAAGTTCGAACGTATCCCACCTCGTGATACTAGCCTTTAATATTGCACCAATGCATTAAAATACATTGTCCAAAAAATGTAAGTGCTTTTTAACTTTGACATATAATTCTGTTTTGAAGATGTAGAGAGAGACATAAACAAGAACATGCACTAAAATCTAAGCTTGCATGCATGCATACAGACAATGGAAAGAGAGAATTATTGAAAACAACAAACTCGCAAACCTGCATCTAAATAAGAAAACAGCTACTGTTGCCGTGATATATGCCATTAATATGCAAAATAACTTTCTTTCTGGGGTCAGACCTCAGTCTGACACATGTAAGAACTGACTTGGGTCTCACCCAAGATTGACTGCATTGTTGACAGTATTGTTTGGAATTTCCTTTTTTTTTTAACTGCAGAGTGTGCTGTCACCACGGGTACAGAAAACTGACTGTATGGAGTAGTAAGAAGAAGTTCACTACAGTGAGTGGTAGAGGAAAATATAAAATATGCCACATAGGCTACATAGTCCTGCTCTGCTTCCATCCTTTTTTTCCCCTGGGGTATTGGGGGTAAATTATTAAATACATTTTAAAAGAGCTATTTCTGGCGGCTTATTGCACTTGCACTGAAAAAAGGTTAAAGAGTGGGAAAACAAGGAGTCTGGCAAAATGTGACTGTATTAAAAACTGAAAAATTCCTCCACATCACCCTGAATATTTATTTGAGTCGGGTATGGTGGATTTTCAAAGAAACAAGTGGTTTTTCTGATAATGTCAAACAGTGATTTAAAGCTGCATTTGTCATTTTCTTTTTTAATATCTGCTTTCTGCCAAGTGTACGGACAAAGTCCAAACAGCCCCTTCTTGTTGTTTTGGTGTATTGATTTAAAAGGTTACACTGTTTTATGTTTTTCTGGAGTTGAGTTTGTTGGGGAGGCGTGGGGGGGTGGTTGAACCCTAAAAGTTATTTTATGACACTGCCACTTTTGGAAACTTATCTATTTATGTGGTCATTGAAAAATAAAATTAATCAGATTAAACCCACTGACAACTAAGCAAAAAAAAAAAAAAAAAGTTTAAATATGCCCCTGATATTTTTGATGTCTGCTTATGCCTCAGTGCTGTAACACCTCAGCTGTTGAGCCAGGTTATTCTTTGTCTATGTTCTACATATCTTGTTTTGGGTTCTTTGGGGGAAGCTTTAAAATGACCCTGCACAAGAAACACAGGGTTATAATTGCACTAGGTAATAATAATGACGTTTTTTGTTTGTTTTTTTTTTTTTTTTTTTTTTTTTTTTTTTTTTTGGAAGAAGGCTGTGATTGAATAGATGAGATGATGGATGAATGTAAACTGTAGCACTGCTTTGGTATGGGCTCCAAGCCTTGGTTGAACATGATAACTTTTTAGTGATTTGTAAACTGATGTGAACAGGTCTTCCAGTGTGGTGAACACCAAGGAGCATTTCCCTAGTATACAACCAAGTAACGCTGAAGTACAGGTTTTTACTACTTTATTGTTTATACTATATTTATCCCAACAGTCATGTATGTCTCTAATGTTGAAATGACACAAAGTGTTCACAAAACTGAGTGAGCCTTAAAATTTATGTATGGTTATACTTTAAGATTTAGTGAATTATTTCTTTATTTCATTTTTAATTTATTAAGCTTCACTTCTTAAAGTTGCTCATGTAAAAAAATTTAAAAAAAGATATCCAGTTGTTTATTGAGCCACTACCTTAATTACTGGACTTTTGAGAGGACAGTTGCACATCTAATTTTGTTAGATAACAGATAACAGTCTTCCCAAAAATGCATGTCTATATAATTACAATTAATAATTACTTTTAAATGCAAACTAGCTTGCAGTTAAATCAGGCTGACATCATTAAAGAAATAAAATAAACTACCTGTATCTCACTGTTTACTTGCATATTAAGTAAACATATACATTTAATGTATTTTTTCTCTTTATATTTTCATGCACAGTAAATCTACGGTTTGGTTCTACTAAGGTCTATTTTTAAAGAGGCAGAATTTTGATTACTCACTATTTGAGAAGAAAATGAAAGTCATATTTAAACAAATTAGTCAATTATACAGGGAGAAAAGCATCAATATACTCCACTTAAGCATCATAGCTTTAAGTTTAGAGAGTAAGGCAATGGGCCTATTGTATAGTAGAATAAAGACTGACAGATTTTGTTTTCTTTACTAAATGTGCAGATTTTAAAATTGGCCACCAATAACCTTTGTTCAGTAGATGTATGTAATAATGAATTCACTTATTTTCTCAATTTATATTTGCCATCATGTCATTCATTAAAGAGCAGGTGTGCTACATCGCCAACCAGATTTTAACAGATTTACTGTAAAAGCGTTCAGCAGCTAATAAGAGACAACCTGGATCCCCTGTTAACATCCACCAAAAGATTGTAATGAGATCTAATATATAATATTTATTTTGGACAAACCTGTTCATTCCCTTGTTCACGTTTAAGATGAGGCTATTAGGAAACATCACCTAGGATTGGTCTTCCTTACAGAACAGTCACACAGAGTTTCTTTCTTACATTCATATTTCAGCTTGCTTCAACCATCTTGTCTACAGTTTTTCTGCCTAACTACAAAATATTGTATGTCTGACACTGGCGACTGCCCCAGATAAGACAACTTACCAACCTTTTTTTTCTCTCTCTCTCTCTCTCCTTCTTGTGCGGGGTGAATGAAAAGGATGTTGCACTAAAAACTGAGAAATTCTCAGAGAATGTCATGGCTAACCCTTGGGAGAGTGAGCCCTATTTGAGGTTGCTGAAAGAAAACATCTGGTAAAATGTATCTAATGTTATGTACTTTATTTGCCAAGTTGATTGAAAACAGTGTCTCCCTCATGGCAAACTCTGTAGTTAAAAATTGATTCTTCATTTATTTTTCTCTGGCAATCTTTGCCATTCACCTGGATGATCACTGAAAATGACAAAAGAAGAGATAGGATGGGATTTTAGGTTGAAAAAACCCTATTTTCAAAAACTTTTTTTCATTAATAAATTGCTACTACTCTATAAAACCTTACATAGTGCTGTGTTCACCCCTCATTACTATAAAACTAAGGGGCTCAGTAGTTTCTCTTCCATTGAATGGTTTGTCCAAAATCAATACATTCATATTCAAAGAAACACCTGTATCATAAAATGCATGCCATTCAGACACTCGCTCTAACACAATGCAATCTGGTTTTTATGCACCATGTATTTTATGCTGAAATAACTATTGTCACTGTTAGCAAACAAAGACCTTGGAATCTTGCGATGAGTAGGGTTGTATTTTTATCACACACCACAGCCTTTTATTGAATGTTTGGTTAAGGTTTAATCTCTTGTAAAAGTGACAGCAGATAAAGAATGGAATACATACTACCCAGTTGTGTGTACATTTGAACTTTCAGCAGACTCAGAAGATGCACTAAAAGTCTGTAAGTCTATGTATGTGCCCTTGAAACTAATGCCAGCACTTTAGAACGACTTAGAAAATTTAAAGAAAAGAGAAAAATGTCCAGAGTGGCCGAGGGTTAGGTGCAAGACAGGAAAACAACTTTTAAAGCCATGTGTTCAGAGCGCTGACAATCAGAATAGAGATGAGAGACCCAAAGTGCACTATGTGAGATCTGACATGACTTGCTGTGCTATTGCTATGTGTGTTGTATTTCTCTATCTGTGCTAGCTTACTATCCAGAGTAGAGGGACGTTGTGATGTGTTGTCGAGCCATCTTGGTCTAAATGTGTGTCTCTGCAACAAAGACTGACTGATATTTGACTGACATTTTGGTGCTTTGTGAACAAAGCTGTCCCGTATTGTCATGGACCATATCTGTAATGCTCTGTTAAGAATGGGCTGAACTTGGGCTTATTGGTAACCTCTTAATGGACAACAGACCATATGACAAATAAGGATCGTATCACGCAGTGCTACACTTTGATCATGGTAATGTTATCCACTATCAACAGGGCTTGGACCAGGCAAACTAGGATGGGACAATAATTTCAGTGTTGATACTTCTTTATGTTTCAAATGAAAAATGTTAATATGTTTATGCGCCTCTTGACTCAAGCATCAATAATATATACAACATAAATGCAAGTTGCCTACCTTTCAATCCCATCATGGTATTTGCCATCACAAGGTTTTCTTATACTGTATAGTCCAACAGTACCTGATTTCTTCAAATGCAATACAGAAAAATCAGCTTTCTAATAAAAGTCCTTACTTCACCATAAACTGCCCTTGTCCTTCTTTTGTCTCTTTTTGAATGTGTAAATTATGTCTTTATTATCTTTCCAGAACAAAATGGGATTGTGTATACCTACATTAAAGAATCCCATTTGACAAGATTTCACTCCAAGGAACCTAACTGGAGAAGGTTTTTCAAGTGATGTACTGTAAAAATGCAAGTCCAAAATGTAAGAAGGTGCCAACAAAGGGAAGCTGTGTGGAAACTGGCTTATAAGTCTCAAACCTGCAATCCCATTATCTGCAAAAACTTTTTTTACGCTTTTTAAGAACTCAAATTATTCTGTTGATGTATTAAAAAACAAGTAGGTTTATGTTTATTATTAGATTGATATTAATCCCAGGAGAGGAATTTATCAAATGATTCTATCTATCTATCTATCTTGCCTTGGAACTACATTTTTGTGTGCCTATTTGTATGTAACCCCAGGTTGTTACAAAATATTCCAGATGGTGTCCTCATTCGTAATGAAGCTGTAGTGTTATGAGCAATCGATGGTGTTGTGGTTGGAGGTTGCTCTGGTATCAATTTGTCATCCTACGTAGGTATGACGTTGTTTTCTACGGCAAAATCGCGCGGCGTACTGTATATTTAGTTGTTGGCCCTCACAGACTAATGTGGCTCTCCAGAAGTTTGTCTGAGATACTCTTTAGGAAGGAATAAACTAATACAATAGATAGACTGAAAAAGAAACAACTTCTGACGTTCAAAATGAGTGACGACACAGACTCCCCTCCTGAGAGGGAAATGAAGGTATGCTCTATAACTCACTGGTTGTGTTCACGGGTTAGCACATCAAAGCTAATGTTTGCTAGCATCTTATCAGTTTATCCCCTTAGCTTAACTCGTTAGCTAGCTGATTGGGTTTAGAAGAAGAAGAAGAAAAAGCTTTATTTTATTGTCATTGTAACATTGTGACACGTACAAAAATGTTGTTTGGAGCCGAGGGCCCCGGGTCGCTGCGTGCATACGCGCCGCCATCACGGGCAGCTTGGTTTCGGTTAAGTTAACCCTAAACTAAATGTATTTGCACAAGCATGATTAATGTAAATGAATTGTTAACAGACTTGACTGTAAGCAGCTGTTTGAAGGTTTTGCGAGAGAAGACTCTTACAGCTATTAATATTAGCACCACAGGTACGCAAAACCTCAAATGTATATGTGGAGAAATCTAAATACGTAACGTTACATTAGCCACTGATGATAAGGTGTTTTGCCAACGTTACAGCAACATTTATCGAACACGACAAGTATTTTAATACATTATTTCACACAGTGTCGGTTCATTCATCTGCATTAGGCTATATGTAAATAGCCACCGTAGTAGCAGAGATAAGCTGGCGTTAGCATCTCAGCTTGTAGCTAGATAGCCAGCTTACCTGTTGTTAATATGCTAACTCAGTAGAGTTGAAAGTAGCTTTAACTAAATATTTAATGTTTATGCCTAAAAATGACATATTTTCTACAAGGAAGGACGGGTCTGTTGCAGTTACTGAAGATGATCTACATGTGTTTGCCACACATCACTGGTCGCTAACAAACAGTGCTTGTTTTGTGTTGTAGGATTTTCAGTTTCATCAGATGAAGAAAGCAAGAGTGTTTGCGCCCAGTGAGGATTTGCCAAAAGAAAGATCTAGTCTTCTCACTGTCTCAAACAAATTCGGTTTAACTTTTGTTGGGCTTGACAGAACATTCAAAGTTTATCAAACTAAAGACATTCTTGCTGCTGACAAAGTTGATGGGAACTCCAACGAAATAGGTATGAATATGGCATTACAGGTTTGAATTCAAATACCTATTCATTCAGTTTTGGATTACATTGTTCTGTTATTCATTTAGTAAGTTCAATTTATGACTCGTACTCACATTTCACTTAAATTTTTCTCTTTGGTCTAGTCAATGGGATAGTAACGTTGGCGGAGGTGACTGTCGAAATTGCTCTGCACCACTTGGCTCTAAGTTGTGATGAACTTACTTTATCAGTATGTGGCATGTCTGAGGAGACAGGTTTGTCTCTCACATTCTATGATGTTCGCACGTTCATGAACAAGGTCAGTGTACCTAATGTACGTAAGCACATTACATGTTCTTCCAGGGTTTGTGTTACAAACATAGTAGGCCATCACTCTGATGAACACTTAACCAGTGACAGTACGATTGGACAATAACCCTCAGTGCAATACCTGTAAATATACATTGTACAGATTATACAGACTCGTACAGGTCTCTAGTTTTTAAGTATTCTGTTTTTATCCCTATTTATCTCATTTCAGTGAACATTGTTTGTCTGAATTGTTTACTGTCCGTTTATACTGCTTATTCTGCATTGTTTGCACTGTTTGTTGCTGTTAATATTGCTTATTTTGTTATATTACACAGCCTTATGGCTGGTTTACTGTTTGCACATTGAGAGCCGATGTACCAGAGTCATATTCCTCGTGTCCGTCACACCTGGCCAATAAAGCTGATTCTGATTCTGATAGGTCTCTTGCTTACTTAAGACCTCCAGCAAATAACTGTCCAATGCAGATGACTGACTGAAATTAACAGTGACTCCAGGGGAATTCCTGACCGGTTACAACAAAAATGTTGTGCACATAGTACTATACAGAGTAGACTAATTAATAATAGGAAATGCCAGACAGAAAAATATAAAAGCAAAAATTATTTGTGGGCATGTCTTTGGTTTTGAGTTGTAACAAAATTATATTTTTTGAAGTTTACATTGTTGATTTGAGCTATGAGGTGCAGACTTGTGGAGAACCCTAATATGTTTTAACATACAGAGCAGTTATACTGTTATTTTTTTGGTTAGTATTTTTTTTGTTAAGTGACCATAATGTTTCCAAATACTGTAAATTATCTACATTTTTGTAGTTTGATATCTCTATAAATACATTGTTTGTAAACCTCTTTGTAGCTGGGTAGTATATTTTTTAATGTACATTAAGGAATTATTAATGTTGATGACATATCTTACCAAGATATTAATCTAGAACATATCCTGATATCTGCCAGAATTTCTATTTATTTATTATTTTTTATTTTTTTGCTTTTCCAGGCGAGACCACAGAAGTTACCTTTTGCATCATTGCAGCCAGCTGTAGCTCCTGGTACCTTAGTGCAGGACCTGAAGTGGAATCCTGGTCACGCATCCACTTTGGCTGCTTGTCTGTCTGATGGCAGTATGATGATTTTGGATGTTACTGACAGTGTCAAAGTACAGGCACAGCTACCTTATTCAAGTGGCATCACATGCAGTGAGTGAGACTTTCAGTATAACAGTTCAGTTTACTTGTACTCTGTTATCTCCACTGTGGCTTAAGTGTACTGTGGTTAATGTACTTTGTTTGGTGCACAGTTTGTTGGAGTCCAAAAGGAAAACAAGTCGCTGCAGGAAAAATGGATGCAACAGTCAGTCAGTATACACCAGTGAGTGACTCTGATTCACCATAACTAAAAACTAAACATTTATAGCTCCTTGAGCTATAGAATCCGATGGCTGATGAGATGAATGACAGATTTTCTCCTTTGTTCAAAAGGCACTCGAAGAGAAAAAAGTTATCCCATGCCCACACTTCTACACTGCTACATCTGATGACCCTGTCAAAGGTAAGATGGCAATGCCTACATATGTCAAATAATAATAATGATAATGTAATGTTTGCCCTTGTACTTATCTGTACAGGTTATTAATGGCATATAATATCATTTCTGATGTTCAGAATATTAAATAAATGTGTATTGATATGCAACTGAAAATACGCTATTTACTCCTGTTGTATTTAAACACTGTAGTGCCTAGATATTTTCTGGCCTTCTCATGAGATTTCTTTACAAAAGGAACATATAGAAAGACATTAGACTTATCGTTTAAATTCCATCTGTGGCTGATGATTGTCTTCCCCCTTGTCTTTCACAGTTCTGGATGTCCTGTGGCTAAAGACCTATGTGTTTGCAGTGGTTTATGCTGCTGCAGATGGGTCCCTTGAGACCCCTCCTGACTTAGTGTTGATCTCCCTCCCTGTGAGTACGCCATGCATCCACTTGATTTTAGGGGTGCACCGAAATTTCGGCCACTGAAAATTTTCGGCCGAAAAGGCCATTTTTATTTCGGGCCGGAATAAAAAAAACACGCCAAAAATGCCCCGCCCCGCCCCGCCCATCATATTCTCGCGCAGCACAGGTTAGGTTTCACTCACGCTGGAGCTGTTATATCACGCGTCTCCCCATCAACAACAAAGCATGTCAGCAGTATGGAAGCATTTTGAAGTTTCAGGTAAGGACACCAAAGTTGCAATATGCAACATTTGTTCTGCAAAAATATCAACAGGAGGTACAATGCCAAAGAACTTTTCGACAACAGGTTTGATACACCACCTGAAAACACGACATGCAATTGAATATGAGGAGTACCGCAAAACAACATTGATTAAAAGTGCCCCAACTACATCACAAATACCCTCGGTCGCAACACACTCTTCGAAAAGACTAAGAAATTAGCAGATGATAGTCCCAAAGCATGTGGCATTACTGAGAAAGTAATGGAATATATGTACACACACACAATTATAGAGTAAGCATGTTTTAAAAATTTGAAGTTTTTAAAAGAAGCCATTTTCAGTTTCGTTTTGGTTTTCGGCCAAATGCATCCTAAATTTTCGGTTTCGGCCCAGAATTTTCATTCTGTGCATCACTACTTGATTTACCTCATTACATTTGGTTTTTGTCAGGGTGATCCCCTCAAGTTTTCACTGCTGTGTTACTCATCACTATAGCTGTTTAATCATGTTGTTTGTTTTTTTTTATCTACATGAACATTACCTGAAGGCTAAATTATGTGTCTGCCTTGTAGTGTTAGCACTTATTTTTCTAATGGCTCTGTCATTACATAGAGGCCCCTAATACAATTCACAAGCACATCTTTATTTTATTTTATTTGAGCAGGTTGCTTTGTATAAGTGACCACTAAGCCATGTAAGGCTTTTGCAGTTGGTTTCAGAGCTACATAATGTTAAAAAAAGAGGTCTGGGACTATCTTAGCTGTTCCTAGCACTGCATTCTTTTTCCTCTTGGAGTCACTCTCCCATCTTTTTAATAATTTATTTTTTGTAGAAAAAGGATGAAAAGGTTGAGACAAAGTACCTGAACTTCAGTGACCCAGTGTATGGGAACTGCACTGAGCGACAGCACCACTACTTCCTTAGCCACATAGAGGACTGGTAAGAATGATTAAAATAAGAGGCTTATATGGTACAGCAGGGACCCAAATGCATGTTCACTGTTGTCATGTTAAATTTGTTTTCTTTCTCATTATTTTAATCCAGGGAACTTGTGTTTGCAGCTTCAGCAGCTTCCATTGAGGTCAGCGTCATAGCCAGACAAGATGACAAGGTACGCAATTAATTAAAAAGCCTGAAAATGTTAGAGAACTTTAGAATTTATATAAGTTTGACTTTCAAATCATTTAGCAAATGTCATCAACAAATGTAATATTTGTATGGATGTTGACTCAGCATCCATACCTTGTTTTCCAAATTTGTATTATTATTATTATTCTTCCGTACGTTTTTTGGCCCTTAACTAGTTCCGCATACTTTCAGCTAGAAAAACCATTCAGGTATCAAAATTTTCAGCTTTTTCAGGACATGCGCAGATCTATTCAGATTTTTCCTAAACATCATACTTTTTGAACTATTTAGTGTTTTTTAGCAAATTTTTGCCCATTCAAATGAATCTGGAAATTCAACTTCAGCATACTTTCAGCTATTTTAGCTATTAAAATGTTCAGCTCTTCAAGGACATTCATGCTTCTCTTCAGAACTTTTGTAAACTTCATACTTAGCTATTATTAATATTAATATTTAGCTTTATTTTGAAAATCTTGCCCCATTCAAATGAATGGGAAAATTCAACTTCAGCATAATTTCAGCTTTCTCAGCTATCAAAATGTTCAGCTCTTCAAGGACGTTCATGCTTCTATTCAGAAGTTCTCTAAACTTCATACTTTTAAAATATTTAGCTTTATTCTGAAAATCCTCACCCATTCAAATGAATGGGAAAGATGTACTTCTGCATACTGTCAGCTATCAACAGCATTCAGGTGTCAATGTTCAGCATTTTCAGGGCGATCTTTCAGCAGTCAGCATCCATACGCATTTTCTTCAGGAAATACAATTCTCTAGTTATTTATATTTTTTGATGACAGACCAGCTTGTGGATGTGTAAGTTTTTTGTTTTTTTTTATTGTTATATTGGGTATACACTGCAAAACACACCAAACTTCTGTGGACTCTGATGACCACACTTTGTTGTCCTTTTAGATCTGGGAACTTTGGATCCTGGAAGATGCAAGTCGGGCTGAGCTTCCAGTGACTAAGACAAATGATGACACTCTGCCACTTGGCTTAGCCATAGACTTCACCAGCCAGCAGGAGATCTTCATCAGTAAGTGAAGCTGGATTTCTGTGTTTCCTCTCATCACTTCTCTGACCATGTGTTGATCATCACAAACTTCCTATACTTGACCTAAAGTTTATTGTATGGATGCTGACTCAGCATCCATACCTTGTTTTCCAAATTTTTATTGTATGGATGCTGACTCAGCATCCATACCTTGTTTTCCAAATCTTTATTATTATTATTATTATAATTTTTGTATGGATGCTGATTCAGCATCCATACTATGTTTTCCAATTATTTCTTTATTATTATTATTATTATTAGTGTGG